GTGATGAACCTGACCCTGTCATTCTCAAGCTTTTGAAACTGTTCTATGGACAGAATTTGCAAGAGTTTGGTGCTTTGGGGGAGAAAAGTCATGGAATGCTGGAGGCAGACCTTAACGGCCCACTCTGATGGAAGTTTGGAAAGCAAGAATGCTGAGAGAAGCCCAGACATTGGAGGCCTGGGTTATGAAGTTGCAGACGAAAATAAAGACTCTACAGAGAATTGGGCTAGTGACCACTACTGTGGTATTTTGGCCAAAGTGTGGCTTCATTTTGCCTGTGCCCTGAGGACCCCCGTAAGGTTGCATTTAAAGGTAATGGACTAATTTGTTTGGCAAGGTAAATGCACCTGTTCAATTGTGTTGAACAGAATGAAGGACTTGTCATCATTCTCTTTACTAGACAGAAGGCCCTTCAGGTTAGTGCTGAGAAATCATTTAATTGTTGGAGAAATTATCATTATTAAAGGGAAACCTGAGCCACTGCACTGCAACAATAGGAACGGTGCCTCGAGGACAAAATCCCAGCCCTTACAGGCCCTATCCTGTGCAGATCCAAATTCATTTAAGGGAAGAAAAGTCCAAGCTGAAGGGGTTACCTGCTCCTTAACAGCAACTGCCTGTCAGAGTGTTTCTCCAAGGACCACAGCTATGGTCTACGTGATGTCCTCTACAACAATGGGCTAAATGATAAACGATGAACTAAAATAAACCCTTTGTCTCTTAAATTGCTTTTTGTCAGACTACCTTTAAAACCTCAGTGGGAAAGAAACTAAGGAAACACAGCCCCAAGCTGCTCTTCTGGAGAAGAACATTTTGGACAAGATAGATTCCTGATCTCTTTAAAGTCAGTGACTGTTCATATCACCAAAACACTCAAGCACTCAAGAATGCAGTGTGTGTGTGTGCATGTGTGTGTGTTTATCATATATATATGTATGTTGAACAGATGTGACATGAGAGATCAGTGAAGAAGCCTCCATCTGGAGGTCAGCGGGCCATTTGCTGGAGGTGTAAGGTTTCTCTTTAGCTCTTTTTTTTTTTTTTTTAAGTTTTTCATTTTGATATGATGGTACTGAGCAATGCTAGTGGGCAAAGTTGCTTTCCTATGGGAGATGTTTTATAAATAACCAAAGGAAAGTGAAAAATGTGAGAAAGTGACGAGGAGGTAATAGGACAGTGAACGGGAACAGAGGACAGAGGCAAGAACAGCAGCAGAGGTGACCACCTATCAGCAGAACATTGTGGCCTTCGAGGATGATCATACTGCAATACCTTTCTCTTTACCTTCTGGTCAAGACACCATAAAAATCAGGTCCTTGGTGCCTTTCATCCTCTTTTTCTTTTTTCTAGTGCCAAGTAGAATGTGCTTATAAGTATTCAGGAAGCTCCCACACAGTTCTGAAATAGATCTCAATGGGTGAAATCAGAGATTTTGATGTGTAGAACCAGGCAAAGAAACAAAGGTAAAAAATATCGGAATGCAAAAGCATCTTGAAGATCACTGAAGGCAAATTCCTCACTTGCAAATGGGTTAATGGTGACTTTGAGAAGTGGAGGCCTTGCTCCAGGAAACACAGTGCTCTGATAACTGGGTTGAAATACAAGCAGCAGGACTCTGGGCCTGGCTCATCCTTTATCCCTCACTGATCCAATATGGCCGAAACAGTCTGGCCACAGAGGAAGCACTTTAGGCATTACACTCTTTTAAGAAGAGACTGCGCTCAAGAAATACAGACAAACGGAACAGTTTGACACTAGCACATAGGTTGTTTTGCTTCTCTTAAGAAATTCCCATTCTCACTAGTCAGGTGACTCTCCCATCAGTGAGGATGACAGTGGCACTGTGGATACAACACTGTAAGGATGTGAAGGTCACCACTTTGGGGCTCAGTTTCGAGCGGCTCGGCAAAGCTCTAACACTTGCCTGCAGTCACACTTTATCTGTGTAGCTGTGAAACAGAGATCCAGGAATATTACAGAGATCCAGGAATATTACAGAGATCCAGGAATATTACAGTTTCCATGTCATATTACTCTCTGCACTTGATTTCTAAGATATAACAGAAGAACAGTCAGCAAGCTGTTCCTGGCGTCTATGCATGAAGCTGACTTCACCTGGCTTTTCTGGTATGGAAGCCCAAAGAGATTGCTAGCAGCTTTCTTCAGTTAAACAAAGGGCTTGAGAACTGCTGACATTTCACTGTTTCTGAGTTAATCTGTCTTTACGGTACTCATGCAGATTCGTGGGGGGGGGGGTTTGCTATTGCTGCAAATCATTCACTCTGCACAGAACCCTCATTTCTAGTGTGGATTCTGTGCCTACCATGGGTCATGAATCTTTAGTGTTGAAATACTGGATAGGCATAGAATTCTAAACTTTCAATATTACCAAGAATGCTAAACTTCTCTTTGAGGAGTAGGAAGTGAAAATGTTTTTCTTGTAGTAGTTCCTTGCATGACTCACCCTTATTCTATCTAGACAGATACTGGGGTATTAACTTATACTCTTATTTTGTGTTTTTGTCCTCTACCTAGCAAGATAATCATCTTTAAGGTGACAGTGTATTCACTCTGTGATGATGTCTCACCCCCTGTTCAAAGACCTCTGCTGGCTTTCCATCGACAATGAAGGTAAAATCTGTTCCTGTACCTGCCACAGAGGGTCTGCCCTGCAGACTATCAAAGCAGATGCTGAGACTTATGGCCAACCTTTGGGCAGATTGCAGGGAATCTTATGAAAGAAGTGGGAAATAGTAAGACCTGGAGAGGATAGAAGCCCCACAAGGAGAGCAATAGAACCAAAAAATCTGAGCACAGGGGTCTTCCCTGAGACTCATACTCCAACCAAGTATCATGCATGGAGATAACCTAGAACCCCTGTACAGATGAAGCCCATGACAGTTCAGTCTCCTCGTGGGTTCCATAGTAATGGGAACAGGAACTGTCTCTGACATGAACTGATTGGCCTGCTCTTTGATCAACCCCTCCCCCCGAGGGCGGAGCAGCCTTAGCAGGCCACAGAGGGAGACAATGCAGCTACTCCTGATGAGACCTAACAGACTAGGATCAAAAGGAAGGAAAAGAAGACCTCCCCTACCAGTGGACTTGGGGAGGGGCATGCATGGAGAAGGAGGAGGAAGGGAGGGATTGGGAAGGGAGGAGGGAGGGAACTACAGGGGGATACAAAGTAAATAAAATGTAATTAATAAAAAAAATTTTAAAAAATGCTCCTGCATGCAAGCTTTTTAGAATTTGCCAAAATATTGCTTTTCCCCTACCCCATGTCTCTCTCCTTACTTTTTGTAGTTGGCGCTACTATTCACAGCATCATTGCTTCTATCTTCTCCCTGCTTGTAAATCCATACCTCCCCTTCAAATGAATTTATTTCATTTATCATGACTTATAAGGGTCCCTTTGTCTGAAAATTACAAACACTTATAAGTGTCCTTTTATCTCTAAATGTTTATCACATTCTTTTTGTAGGGGAAGAGGACAATACTGACAACATTTGACACATATGATCTTGTTTGATGTCCATTGATGGGAGAAAGAAGTTCTCTTTCTTGGGACATATATCTTGAGGTTTGGAAGCAGCCTGATGGCTTGACATTTTAATTGTAACTTTCTTCATTAACCCAAGTCGGGCTCAAATGAATGAAGATACTAAATACAAAGTTAGGTTTGTGTCAACTAGGCCAGCCATTTGCATATCTGGCCACTTGGAAGTATTTTGTTCTAAGCAGCCCGGACATGTTGAAAAGGAAAAGAAACCTATAAAGTAGAGACTGAAAAGAAGGAGCTAGCTAACTTTTTTGTCAGTCCATATAGTATTGTTCTTTATTTTGTTTTAGAAAATATTCACTAACTTTTGACATATTTGAGAAATTAAAAAAAAAATACACCATTTTTCCTGAATATTTTAAGGAAAAAAAAATGAAAGTTCTCGTAAAGTGGGCTCACATTCTCATATAACGGCATTGGAGATGGCTAGTCTGTGTGGGCCTCTACTGGCTAGTTTGTCACAGTCCTCACTCAGCCCACATGCCACTTTTCTTAATCTGTCTCCTGGGCACTGGTGAGGTATCAACAAAGAGGACAGGGATGCCAAGACATGGACTCCAGAGACAGGAGACCTGTAGAATGGACACTCTGGAAGCAAAGGTGAAGACATGCTTTTAAATATGTGGATGACAAGAGACTGCAGTCAATGAGCGACAGTAAGGAACCACAAATAGTTGCCTTGTGTCCAGGAAAGGGTCCACACTGTCGTTGTGAGGAATTTAGCAAGACTGAATAGATCCTTCACTACCTACTAGGATGTGTCAAGAGTGAAAAAGAAAAAGATACAACATTCTTACTTTTGCTTTTGAGGAGAGCCAGATCTTCTCAATACTTAGAAAAACCATAGAGTTGAGGACTGGGCTGTCTTGCAGATGAGGAGACATAGTGATTTACGAAACTTCCAGGGGCCAGGCTTGACCAGTGAGCCCCACAAGGAAGGACACCTTTGCCCTAGTTACTTTTCAGAGCATTTCTCCTGCTGTCCCCACTGAGAACCTGGCATCTGCATTTTCCTTGCAAAGTGCCTGTGTACTTGACCACCAGGGGGCCCTATTGCACACTTCACACAGAATAGTATTAGCCTTGGTGGTCACACAGGAAATTCTTAAGGACTTGCTGCACTGTGATCTATTTTTAATAAAGATCTGAATCATTCCTGCCTTGTCTTTAGAAATGAGAACATAGCCAATAGATAAGAAGTGAAACATTCCATAAAAATAGCCAAGGTTATAGATGAGCTAAAACCTTTTCCCTTGTGACTTCCTTAGTTACAAGCTTATGTTTCACAGTTGTCTCTGTCTCACGATTGTCCTTTCTTCTTTCCTCTTTGATTGGGCCTCCCAGTGGGCCCCCACCCCTTTTTCTGCTGACAGAAGCCAGGAGGCAAGTTGAAGCAAAGTTCACCCTGGAAGGAAGACTGAACTTGTGGCCTGCTCACCCTGCTCGCTCCTGAAGGTGTGGTCCTGCGGGAGGACCGAGTGGCTGTTCTTTGTAGTTCCTCCTCCAACAAACCAGTTCACGTTGGGATTCCAGCGGTTTACAAAGCCACAGAGATGGTTTTCTTCAAAGTCGCATTCTGGAGGAAGAGACACAGATAGACATTTCACGGGCTGGCAGTTACACCTGGGGGCACCCACTCTCACTTCAGGGTCGGCCTTAGTCATCCTACAGGCTGTCTTCCTCAACCGTGGGTGCCTTTGGACCAGAAATTCTTACACAATATTGGTCAAGAGGAGAGAGCCAGTAATGAACTGATGCTCTGTTTCAGCCTTGCCCCTCTGAACCATAGCCTTTTCTCCCGTTAGCCATGCACCTTGTTACGGGACTCGGCATCTCTATGAATCTTTTATTGACATGTGAATTGGAGACAACAGTTCCAGGTCATCATACTGTAAGCATAGGCAGCCCTCAGGCCAGAACTGGAACACCAGGCACATGGCCCATGCTTGATGTAATCTGATGGTTTTTGTCAGTCTATTAAACTTAGTTGATTAGTCAATGTTTTGGTGCTGCGGACAAAATTTGTTAAGTATGCACTTTACCACTGACATATATTTCCAGCTCCAATGTGTATTTTAATGTACTATTTCAGGGTTATCCCCTCAGCTCTAGACATGTTTTCTACCACCCTTTCTGTTGCCTGCTGGTCCAGCCCCCCATCTCTTTATGGTGAACAAGATTCTCAGAAACTCAGAGGTATGTTTCCAAGATGCTAATCCCCCCCCCCCCCCGGTTGTCTGATGAAGAAGAATCTACTTAGAGTAGGCAGGAGAGGTATACACTAGGCCCAGGGCCTTCCTGCAACTCCTTCTTAGAGATGAGAAACACAGAAGTAAAACACTTATGCTTGGGGACATTGACATGTTTCCAATAAATTGTTCCTCATCAACAAATTCTTTTAGTTGGGGACAGGGAATTTATGAGTCTAATTCGACCACTGACTACATAATCCTGCAATTACCAAATGAAGAATTATTCCTATCCTGTTCTCTGCTGCTCCAATCTCCTTCTTGTTGGGTTTCACCAAAGGAAGGTAAAGGAGGGTGACACAAGGGCTAGCGCCCATCTTCATCAGTGCTGGTTACGACGGTGAGCTATGTCCTTTTACAGAAGGAGCAGCCCAGCGAGAAGTCTTGATCATACAGTCACCATTCCCAGCTGCTGGTAATTTCTCCTCTTATCCCATTGGACCTGGCTAACTAGATGACAGTTATGAGTCACAGTTGATGCTAATTCTGTTCACAGTGCCAGCACCTGATGGTGTCTTTTCTCTATACAACTTTGTGGTCTTGCTGATGTTGATGGGTTTTCTACAAATTATGGAGGCTGGTCCTGCCCCACCCCCACTCCTGTTCCCATCAGGATCCTAGCTTTCAGCTGTCAGTGAGCATTGATAAGTTTTAAGATTTCCTTTTGAATTTCCACTGCAGTGTCTGCTAACCAATGCTCAATGTCTAGTGCCAAGGGCTGAGATAGAGTGTAATAAAAAACAAAATCCTTCTCAGAACGCCAGGTGCTAGTCTAAGCTTTTTTCTATGCATTTACTTAATCCTCAGCATAGCTCCTCGACACAGGTACTATTACTAACCCAACTGAAAAGACAAAGAAGCAACAGATGAGGTGGATACAGAGCAAGGAGGGGCAGCAGCATGGCATCCTTTTTGTTTTAAACAAACCAGGAGTCACCAAATCATCTGGGGGAAAGAAATGAAAGTTTCTTGCGTGCCCGGCAGTTTATCAACCATCTTAATATCCACAGCCCTGTGTGTGTGTGTGTGTGTGTGTGTGTGTGTGTGTGTGTGTGTCTGTGTCTGTGTCTGTGTGTGTGCAGTGAGGAACTGAGCCAGAAAGTGGAGCTCCCCAGGTGTGTCTGACTGCTTCTGTGTGAGCTGGGGCAGCACATAGTCTATTCAAGGGAGGATCCTGGATGGCTGGAAGTTCTCTGCATCTGCAGAAAGTACTCACTTTTTGGTCTAATTTTTTTTTTTCGCATTAGAGATATCACTGAAAGACCAGACACAGAAGCCAGGCCACAGGGCATTAGCATAGGCTCCTTGTTCAAGATCATCTTTGACTCTCTACTCCCTTTGGCTCTGAGTCCTCCATCTAAATACTCTCCATTCTGAGGTATCTCTCAGATCTACTGACTTTTTTCTTTTGCTATGCCATTCCACCCCGCCTCTTCACCCCCACCCCTGGTTTAAGGTCTTCATTCTGTGATCCCTGGAAAGTCACAGTCTCTTCCAGGATTTTTCTAGCTCCTATGTATCCATATTTTCCTTGTCTACAGTTCCTGAAAACCAGTGTCATCATCTGAAAGGCACAGCTGCATGCCTATGCCCTGCAGGTGAACTCTAGCACTTCCCTACCCCATAATTCCAGGCACCCAAGCTCCCTGCCCTGTCTAGTCTCTGTAAGAAGCCTCTCCACCCCCAACCCCCGCCCAACTGCTCAGCTATGGTCTTTGCATCTGTATGCTCAGATCCCACAGCCTCTGCCTGCAAACAACTCTTCCCCTATGTGCACTCCCACAGACGCCAGCCCTGTGTGCAGTGCTTACTCTGTAAAGAATTATGGTCAGTGGCAGATGAGGAATAGTCTGGTCTCCATGGGGTAGGGGCTGTCCTCTCTCCCTGCCTTCCTAAAGCTGCCAAGCAGATAATCAATCCTGCCCACACCAGGTAGAATCTAAATGACAATCGGGATGATTAAGGCAGTGGCAGCAGTGTATCAAGAAAGCAGGTGACATGATGGATGTCTGCTCTTCTGGCAAGAGCTACAAACAAATAGAGTTCACAGCAAACCAGCAATTATTTTCATTGGAGCTGGGTGAGGTTAGAGAGCATCGCTGAGGACAAAAGTTGCTGCTTCTACTCGTTAACCCAGCCAGTCTGAGCAAATGCTAAGGAGCCTCTCCTCACTGAAGGCAGAGGATCAATGTCTCATCTTCAGGTGACCCTGGCAAGGAACGGAAGCTACTGCGCATTTTACAGCATGCTCCATGGCTCACTTGGCCTTTAAGATTGATTTGGTGCTTTCTGGCAGTGGACTGGAGAAAGAGATTTGCATTCCACTGCCCTCATCACTAAACTCACTCACCAATACAGTAGCCGGCTGTCATCTTGATTTCAAAAAGGGCGATGCTGGCCGTGTTTCCTTGTCCCAGGACACCTTCTATCAAAATCTGTACAACATATGTGGGGAAAAAGAAACCAGGCATCAAAACACCATGTTTCCTGTTCAGTAGTTCAGTTCTTTAGTCAGAAGCTGGTATTCAGTGTGGTCCATGGCTGCTGAATGTCAGTCTTATATGTATCTGTGTATACATGAGCACATGCACATACTCTGAGGACTTTGACATGAGTGCAGTTTCCATCAAAAGCTTGAAGTCACACATCACATGTCTTTCCATGTTGCCCTAACCTCCACTGCATTCATGGAGGCAGTAATTGCTGGGGGATGGAGAGGAGAGCTGTGTTCCTAGGGAAGTATATGCTGGATGGAACTGAGGGCAGATGATGCAGGGGCAAAAAAAAAAAAAAAAAAAAAAAAAATCCTTGGATGAGAAACCAGAAAGCCCAAATTGTCAGAAATCTCCACACAAGATGGGAAGGCTCAAAAGTCAACCCATCATTTTAACTTTGGTGAGAAACTGAGAATTTTACACAAAGACCAGGTAGAAGTCTGATAACCCATATAGCTGATTTCAGGGAACGTCAGAGTTCACATCTGGCTCTGATTCCCAAATAGCTTTTACTTCTGTGGTTTCAACAATATTTTGCAAGTATGTGGGTAGATTTGGGTTCTGACAGCCATTGGAAGATGGTGTGAAATAGGTACTCAGACCTCAAATATTCCTTCCCTCAGTAGCCACCCAATGGGAAGGACTCCCAATAGGCTTGGCTGGAGGGAAATGTCTTTCACAGAAGAGGCTAGAGCTTAGGAATAAGAATGCATTAGGAATGGGGTTCTCTTGACGACTCTGTCGTGTCCCCAGTGATACTCTGATATGTGTCAAACTCCAGCTCTGTCCTGGCTCAATTCCACACCCCACCTCTTACATCCTCTGCTTTCTTCCCTGAGTGTCACTGACAGAACAGTTAGCTCTCTGAAAGGGAAGGAAACGTGCTTGGTAAATAACTTCACCCTTTCAAACTATTTTAGTGTTTCCTTTATGATAGTGCTTTGTTCAAACCTTGGAGCAACTAACCCGTTAGGAAGACAACACAAATATATCCCACAAACAATTTAGAAGGATGAGGAAAAATTGTTGGCAACAAGAAAAATACTCCCAAAAATCCATTTTCACTGATGAGGTCAACTTCAGCACCATTTAGAGGCTTGTTTTAAATAGATGGGAAAAGTCTATGAAGATGCTCTTTTAAAATTTACATTAAATTTTTTTGATGTAACTAACCTTACTGTCTTACTTGTTCTATAAGACAGTGGTTCTCAACCTGTGGGTTGTGATCTCTTTGGGGATAGAATGACCCTTTCACAGGAGTCACCCAAGGTCATCAGAAAACACTGATATTTACATTATGATTCATAGCAGTAGCAAAGCTACAGTTATGAAGTAACAACAACAAAATAATTTTATGGTTGGAGGTCACCACAACACAAAGAAATGTGATAAAGGGTCTCAGTATTTGAAAAGTTGAGAACCGCTGCTCTAAGACCTCAACTAGCTAAAGCACATACCGACAAGTTTCACATCTTCCTCCTGCATTCCACCTACCTTGAATTTCTTGGTGCTGTTTTCAAGATCCAGACTGGCTATGAGCCAGCTGTCTGAAGGCTCCTTGGTGGACCAAAGCAAGCGATCAAAGCTTTCATCCTCAAATCTCACATACAGGTTCAGCTGGCTGGGGTCTGACGGGGATCCCGGAGCTGTGGTTATCTGGTAGACCAAGCGCAGGCAGTGCCACTCCTCAGCCTGCAGATCAGAACTCAGCAGCACAGCTTTCTCCCCTTGCTTGGCAAAAGAGGTATCCACATAAACATAATGGCCTGAGAGGGAGAGGAACACGGACAAAGAATTAGTTTTCTGTTGCAACTTGGGAAAAAAAAAAAAACAAACCAGCTGTTTGGTCCATTAAATCTGTGGGAAGACAAGGCCAGGCGTGGTGGCGCACACCTTTAATCTCAGCACTCGGGAGGAAGAGTCAGGCAGATCTCTGTGAGTTTGAGGCCAGCGTGGTCTACAAAGAGACTCCAGGACAGCTAGGGCTACACAGAGAAACCTTGTCTCAAAAGACCACCACCACCAACAATAAAATCTGTGGGAAGACAGCCTGCCGGTGCATTGTCTCAGCCCGCCAGAACTGCCTCAACACTGGGTCTCTACTCTCTTGTGAAATGAGCGTAAGTACCCTGCACTCTGTGGGCCACACACATCCCATAATAAGTGTTAACACATCCCAAACCATTTGTAAATGATATCATAAGGCTATGTCAAAGGTTGGACATGTTTCGGTCATGTTGCAGCTACGTTCTCACATGGCAACAGGCGTAGGCCGAGCGCTGGGCCTCTCAAGAGAATAGAGTGCCCTACCCAGTTCTTCCCTTCCACTCCTCTGAACTCTGAGGCCGCGGTCAAGTATTTGGCGCTTTTCTGCATCCCACACCAGGTCCAGTTGGCACATTGCACTAGGACACCCTGGCCCTCATATGGGTGGGGGTGCAGGCTTAGGGCATTGAATCCAGGGAGCCATATGAGCAGGCTGGAGCCAAAAGCCTCAAAATAGGATGACTTGGTGCACTCAACCATCTCCTTCTACAGCTTTCCTCAAAAAAAAAAAAAAAAAAAAAAAAGATTTAGTTTGCATTTAGTTTGTATCATTAAAATATATAAAATCATAAAATTAATTGATTTAGTTACTCAGCCTGGCTCTTGGGGCCTAGCCAGATAAAGTGTAAGCTTTCTTGCTTGCTTCTTTAGGATTAAGAATCAGATTCCCTTTGCCTAGATTGTTTCATAACGAAATATAAATCTCATAGCTCTGATAAGTACATGGAAAGTGTGTGTAAGACAGATTGCATAGGGCTTGGAAAGGAATGGGTACAGCAGGATTACCCCCGATCTCTCTTTCTCTTTCATCTCTTCCTCTTTCTCAGTTCTTTGATTCCTTGTTTTCTCTCCTCTTTCTCTCTTCTGTCTCTTACGTTCTTTCCTTATTCCCCACCCTTCTCTTTTCTCTATTTCTCTGCCATCCTGTTCTGTCTGCCTGTATCCTACTAATACTTATGAGTGGTATTTTACTAGCTGGGCCAGGATATGGAATCATATTCTTATGGAAGATGGAGGGAAGGAGTAGTGAAGCCAAGAACACCAGTGTAAGCCTTCCATACTACTCTGGCCACTTGGACTCCTAGCCTAGTGATTTACTTTTTATTAGTCTTCAGAAGTGGAAGCTGTAGACTCTACATTCCCCGAAGCTCCCACATTTATGCCTGCATTAACTCTTTGCCTTCTATCCTGTGGCTACCCACTGCTCCCTTGGTAGTTTTTGGTCCCTTACACTGAACTCTCACCAAGAAAGTTCTGAAATACATGTATGTTTTGCTTGATTTCCTTCAGCCTGCCCTCCCACACATATTACCTCAAATAGCCATTGCAGCTAAGAAAGATCTCTCTGCAGCTTTGGCCAGTTCTGGATGGCCAGCAGCAACTCAGCAAATGATCAGCCTCCACATAGGACACAGAATGCCAACTTGCTAGCTGGAAGATTCCAAGATCAAACTTATCTCCAGCAGGCAGTCTTGATGTGGCAGCAACTCATGAGTGACAGCAGCTTCAAGAGCCACCTCAGGTCTCCCCATGTGGTAAGTCTGAGACTTAAAGCTATTGACACCACCAAGTGTTCTGCATACAGCTAGTCCTCAGGTTCCGGCACTGCCCTAAGTGCATGGTAACCATTTGCCATTCACAAGCTGTGGTGCCTATTGGCTCTCAATTATGAAACTGGGCTCTTGATACCAAGGGGTTTGTTAGGGAAAATTTGGATCACTTTGACCTCATGGGGATGTGTAAATGCCACCCTGTTGTCACCATTCTTTGCTCAGGGAGTCTCAATAGGCAGGTAGTGAAGTGGAATGGGCATGGGATGGTGGGCTGATGAGGTTTTTGTCAACTTGAGTCAAGCTAGACTCATCTGAGGAGAGGGAACCTCAACCAAGAAGAGCGCCCCCATCAGCTGGCCTGTGGGAAAGCCTGTGGGGGTATTTTCTTGATTGGTGGTTGATGTGGGTGGGCCCAGCCCACTTTGGGCAACACCATCCCTGGGAAGGTTGCCCTGGGGTGCATAAGAAAACAAACTGAGCAAACCAGGAGGAGCAAGCTGGTAAGCAGCACCCCATGGTTCCTACTCCAGCTCCTGCTTCCAGGTACTTGTCTTGTGTTCCCGCCCTGGCTGCCCCCAGGGATGGATCTGAAAGTTGAAAGCTGAAATAAACCCTTTCACCCCCAAGTTGGTTTTGGTTATTGTCTTTTCGACTCCAATAGAGACACTAAGACAGATGGAGAAGTGTGGGGAGAGCTGCTTTCCTGCAGAAGGAAAGAGGTTGGAAGTGGGACATAAGAGAAGACAGAAGAAAGTTTGTATTCATGACAAAGAGGTTTCTCTAGAGGCCCTGCTCTCCTGGGCATTTCCCAGTTTCTCCTGCCTCAGTTCCTTCCTTTTCACATTCCAGAAGAGAAAGCTCAAGACTTGAAGCTGAGGTTTTCAAATTTGCATCTGGAATCATCTGGAGGTACCACTTTGAAGAAATAGGGTTCATTCTGTAGGCACCCTTTGTCTGTCACAGAAAGTGCATCACAGGTTCCTATAGCATGTTTGGGAGGGAGGAGACGGTTCTAAGCAAAACCCAAATGCCAGAGAATGTGTAGGTGATATCTGTACTTTCTGGTGAGGGCTGTTAAAAAGCCTGTGCTGAATTGGGAACAGAGATGCACACCTCTAATTCCTGGTACATAAAAGATCAGGCAGGAGAATGACAAGTCTGAGACCAGGAAGACTTCATCTCCAAAAAGAAAATCTGTTGTAGATGGTGGTTAACATCATGGCCCACAACTGGGTGAGGTGTAGAGAATAAGGCATCACAAAATTCTCAGCCCTAACTAGAACACATCGACCAAACTCTCCTCTCTCTTAAGGCTCAGGGATGATTGTAGAAGAAGAAGTAGAAAGGGTATAAAGAGCCAGGCAGAGGAGGTACGTGAATATAAGAAAACATTATCTTCTGGAGAGCAGGGCAGATGTACCTATCAACTTCCAGTTGCCATAGTGTGCCCAAGATCTGCATAAGCCTAAGCCAGACCAAATTCCAGTATGGAGCGGTGAGTTGTCCTAGAGTGGTCAGCAATTATGTTAGCTGCAGGGAGAGGGTGAGAGTTTTTTCTACAAGTGTAGTCTTTCATAAGTCTATCATTCTCTCATGTAAGACCAGCCCCACCCCCAACCTGTCTTGACATTCATTCTTACTTTCTGTTTCCCTGAAAGCTTATGCTAATAATGGCTTGTTAAGAGCCTTTGAAGCATACACTATATTAAATGCATTATTCAAAATACCTTGATATCATACTGTATTGTAAAAGTTGGCTATTTATTGAGCGATTTTTGACATCTCATCCATAAATATTAACTATTTCAAAATACTGAGATTCCACATTTAAATTACAGCTCTCAAATTCAGTTCTGGGCACACTGGATGGACATGCCTACTAATTGTAGTGGAATATGTTCTCAGGCTTATCTACCTACCAGAGCAATGCATTTTCCTAACATATTTAACTAACTCAAATGTTCCTATCTATCTACCATTGCCTAGTTCAAGAATCTGAGTCCACTTTTCATACCCAACCTGGACCCAGCCTCAGAACTCTTCTAAACACAGCCCCATGGAGCCATTACCAGCTAGTGTGAGTCGGCACTTGGAACTGAAGCTGAAAACCCCTACTTGGGGTTTCAAAGCAATACTGTATTTTGTGGTCATGTTACAGCTAAATTAAACTAGAAGGAACATGATATATTTAGAGAAAATTTGTGAAATCCAATATAGTATGAACAAGACATGGCTATAAAGTGACTTCTCCGTACTATAACTTGTAAAATTCCTGTAAAACCTCTTTATTAAAGAGAAGAGAGTGAAACAGTGCATATGATTTACTCCACCCTGGCTATCCTGATATCAGGAATCTGACCTTACAAATAATCCGCTCATCACAGAAGCTACCCTTTTAATACAACGCAGTGCTTTTCAGCACATTCAAAAAATTGCACAATCATCTCATTATTGTATGATTCTAGGACATTTGTGCCACCCAAACCAAAGTTCTAAACTCATTCACAGTCATTCTTCATCCTCTTGTCACCAGCCTCTGGAGACCTCGCTCTAAGAATCTACATGATTTGCCTGTTCTGGGAATGGCTTGTAAGTAGAGTCATAGTATGTCTGTGCCTGACACCTTCCCTCAGATATCTTTTGAGGTTCTCCTGTGGCAGAATTTCACTCCTTCTTAAGATGAAGTCCCTGCAGTTGCTTCCTGCAGTTGCCAGCTGACAGATGTCTTTTGGCTATGATGAGCAGGGATGCTATTATGAGCTTGCATGTGAAGTTTCAGTAGATGAACATTCAAGTCTCATTGACAAGACTTTATTCACTGCTTGTTAGCTTATATGGTAACACTGTGTTTAGCTTTTTGAGGAACTGCCAGAAATTTTTGTGTGGCTACACTGTTTGTATTCCACCCACAATGCATTTATCCTATTCTTTGCCTATGGATAGGTAATCCTCTCCACAAGGCTGTAGTCCAACCTCTGAATTCAGACTAGGATATTCTTCCCTGATTTCCTGATGCTTTTTCTCCCTGGATCCCGCCTTGCCCAAGGTAAGGTATAGAGTGATGAAGTAGAGCATGTCAGGCGGATGTTGGTTCAGATTCTAGCCACGCTATTTGGAAACTCCATCATTTGGGGCAAGCTAATTATAGTATTTGAGATTCACTTTCT